TAATTTAATCAACGTAGGAAGTTTAAGTTCTATAAATTTAATATTAAAGACGAATAGTTATTTTAAATAATCAAACATGATTAGAAGTTCATTATTGAAAATAAGTAAGAGAAGAAGAAAAAAAACATGAACAGTAAATAGAATGATTATTGATATAATTGAACATTTTAACGAGAGAAACAATAGATAGAAATTGATAAAGAAGATGATGATACTAACGAATATATAATTAAGTTTTATAAGTTTATAAATAGAAAATGACGGAGAGACGATAGAAAGTGTAATTATGTTAAATGTTGGTATCAATTGCCTGTACTGGTCCGTTTTATATCAACAAATAGTGAAATAGTAATAACATTTATAATCGTAACATATTTAAAATAAACTAAAATATTTAATTAGAATAATATATTTATCATGGAATTATTTATCAATAGACATTTAGCTTAACCAAAAGATACAAGATGAATTGATATCTCCAAAATAAATGAAAAGTGAAGAATATTTGTTTCTATGATAAAAATCTGATTTATCCTATTAAGTAGCAATTAACATTTACAAGCAAAAGTCATTTTACTTACATTTCTGGTCTTTTTATTCCTTTTGATAGAGCTAAATCACGATATGTTTTACAAGCCATTAATAAAGATTCCGTTCCGCCCGATGTCATCTAAAAATGAACAAAATTATTAACACTTGTCCATGGATGAACTTTTGCAATAAAAAAGGACATTTTTTTGATATTACCAGAATACAAAATCAAACTGTACACGTGAGTAAAACTGCTCAACAAAGAAAACTACCAATAGGATCAATAAATTAGATAACTAAAAAATGATACGACACTAGAATTTAGATCACTGAGTAATACGATACAGACGTCATCTGACGGTACGAGCAGTTAAATATACTGTATTCTACCTATTTTAAAAAACGCTCTTTTATATGAATCATTACTTTGAATCAACTGTGTTTATTCTAAAGTTGGATTATTGGAACACAGAAAGAAACTTAGTGATAAGGTGAAATATATGAGACACATTAGTTTTAGAGGAAAGTACTCACTGTTCCACAGCATTCTGGTCCTCCATGAAACATTGTAGCCACCATTCTAACACATTCAGCTTCCATTGTTCGTATATCAGGAAAGACATCAGCATCTGAAAATAGAAGAATACATTTAGTATTTAAATGGTTTATTTATCGTATAATGTAAAACTTACGTAATGGATTTGTTGCACCAAACAATTTGAGTATCTAGAACAGTCCTTATAATGTTTTTATATATTATTTCACATTTTAATTTATGCTTTCAATCAATAAACTAACCTCACAATATATTGATGTTAAATCATTTTTTTCTACGGAATAGACACAACCGCTGACTCGTCCATTCCTGTACTTGATATGTTCAAGATCCTTATATTCACGCAATTTCGTAATTAAATCCTCCTAAAATTCAAAAATTCAATCAACGAATAGTTGAATTTTATAAAAATAATATAACCATACTTCGGATAATCCTTTTGGTGGTAATGCTGTTGAAAAGTTATGTCCATGAATACTTTTTGCTAGGTCACTATAAACAGATGTTAATGTATTTGTTTTTGTTTGAGCTATTTTCCGTTGAATAACTGGTATACGTCGTAATAAACGAAATATTGTTTGTAACAGACGAACTTTAATATCTAAAAATTTGACATGAAATTTACAGATACTGTCATTTTACAGTAGAGCTATACTCTTGATTTCTAAAATTTTAGTGTCACAAAATTACCTTCATCATTATTGAAAATAAAATTATAAAACCATAAAACAATAGACGTAATAATTGCTGTGAAAATAATTAACTGTAATGGTGAATAACTGTTCAATGCTTCGTTAATAGATTTAGAATGTTCATTAATGTGAATTTGAATAGGGTGGATATGTGGTTCATATTCTTTTAATAAATCCTAAAAATTAACAAAAACATGTAATCAAGAAAACTAATACTTTTCAGTTAGTCTAGAATAAGTACTCTGTAGTACGACTGTATAACACCCATGTTGAACAAATTACTGTAGATGGACTAAAAATTCTTCATCTAGAAGTGAAAAAAATATAGAGTAAGAAATTGCAGAAAATGCGAATTATAGATAACACTTATTGATCTATTTGCTGTTTTTTGTATCTGTGAGCGATCGCTGATAGAGAGTTCGACACATGCACCTTGATCCTTTAATATTATTTAATTTTTCCATTTAACTGCGAGCGTTATCAACAGTCTTCAAGTAAAAACTGACAAACATTCAAATAACAACGGATTGACATTGAATAGATAAGATTTTTTCATATGTCGGTTAAAAGGACGAAAAAAACAAAAATAAAACAGAACATGTTCTTTTTGTTTACTTTAAAATTATATCGGAGAAGAATTTCACTTCATAACACTAAAAACGGAGTACGTCCTCCTCTCTTTATAGAAAAAGAACTTTATATAAAATGCGACAAAGCAAGACATCATTAAAGTCATCAGTACTGAACTTTGTATATCCAAATGTTGAGCAAATAACCGATGCTATCAATAGCCTTCGCGAAAATATTGCATGCGGTCCAGATGAAATCCAAGCGGTTGTATTATAAAAAAATGTCAGCATCATTTCTATACAGTTGCACCATATTTATAAATTATCCATTGAAACAGGAGAATTTCCTGATAAATGGAAAGTTGGTACAGTCAATCCGACCCATAAAAAGGGTCCTAAAAATATTGTGTCTAACTATAGGCCAATATCTCTCCTTAGTATCGCTAGTAAAATTCTCGAAAGATTCGTTTATAACCAACTTTCTAACCATCTTAATTCGAACAACTTTTTTTCAAATAACCAGTTTGGTTTTAGGCCCAAGACCTCAACCGTTGATGCACTTCTTTACCTATTAAATCACTTGACGAAGAATTTAAATACACAACCACTAGTAGCTACCATCTTGGTCGTGTTTGATTTAGAGAAAGCCTTTGACAAGGTCTCGTCTCAAATTATTCTTTCGCGTTTAGCGCTGTTAGGTTTGTCATCGGATGTGGTAAAATGGTTTACTAGTTATTTGACTAACCGCTCCCAGCAAGTAAGCATTGGCGCTGTTTTATCTACGCCTACGCTAGTGCTCTCCGAGGTAGTATCAGGTTCAGTTCTTGGTGCTTTACTTTTCCTTATCTTCATAAATGAACTACCAACTGTAGTCCAACTGCCAGCAGATAGCATACTTTTCGCTGATGACTGTACACTCTACTGTCCAATGGCTTCGTCTGATATGCCAACTGTATGTCAAAAGAATATTGAGAAAATTTGTAACTGGTGTACCTCCAATCTGATGTCTTTAAACGCAAATAAGTGTGCCTGGATGTTTATCTCTAATACACCAAGTAGAGCTAATAATTTACAGTTCACACTAAGTGATGGTACAACTATAACACACCAACCTTCCCTTATACTCCTAGGCCTAAAAGTCAGTCTAATCCGAGATGGTGCGAACATGTGGAAGATATTATACTAAATTGTAGAAAACGACTAGGCGCTATGTACAGACAATTTAGAAATGCACCCTCTTCAATTCGTCTATAAATTTATAAAACCTGCATATTAGCTAAATTAGATTACGCCTGTGCTTTGTATGACACTAGCTTTGCTAATTTAGAAAGTCAACTTGAATCAGTTCAAAAACTAGCAGCTTACATGATCACGCGTGATTTTCATACTCCAGGAAAAGCCCTTGTCGAAAAACTAAAATTACTTTTACTCTCCGTCCGAAGGAAGTATTTTCGATTAGTGTACTTCAGTGGCGTATTCAGAAATTTTTAACTAGTGGGCAATTCTCCAGCCAAATTATTTTGAGAGGTGGGCAGCAATGGGCAATTGAAAAATCTATTGGGCAATAAATTTTAAAAACTTATTGACACTATAAAAGCCGATGGTTACGGAAGAGAAATTCGTCAACCTCAACTAACAGAACAGCTTGCTCGCTGTCTTTGTGTTGAACAGCTAAGCATTCATCAGCGAATTTATATGTAGTACCGAGTATTTTAACGAAAGGGTATCATTGAATCGTCATCATTGAGATCATTGGTTAAATAGAAAAGACTGCCGATTGATTTTTCTGCAACAACTGATTCGATCTCATCTTGAGAAGTTCATTAAAATTACATCATTTGAGTCATCAAACGTGCACGAGTATCAAAATTTTTTTGCAGTGGGCAATTGCTATTATCTCAAAAAACTGGTGGGCAATAAATTTTGGACTGGTGGGCAATTGCCCACTATCTGGATACGCCACTGGTGTACTTTTTTAAAGTCCTTAACGGCTTATCACCCTTGTCTCGATTCAATCTCATACAGTATGATGTGAGTAGAAGATCCGAACGTCTATTACAGCCTAACAGACAAGTTTTTATCCCATTTGCGCGCACTGAAACTATTCTACAATCTTTTCTGTACAGGACAGCTCGCGATTGGAACTCTCCCCACCACTGTAGTTATCTCGTCAACAATAAAATCTTTCAAAACCAAACTGAGGCAGCACCTACAACTGTGAAAGGGGGAAAGAAAAAAAAAAATATATATATAGGATAAAAGGTGGCAATTTTTATAGGTTTCTAAAACTTTTTTTGCTTTCCTGACAACATGTTTTGTGTTTATTAGATTTTTGTACTTTCTGACCAAACGGCTGTTGTCCAAATAAAAATCAACCAATCAATAAAGTAGAAAGCAGCACACAGTGTTTTTTTATATAATACATTGTAATCAAAACCCATGCTAATCTAATAAATATGCTGATATAATAAAACCAAGCTAATATCTTAGCGAACAATATTTTTCAAAACAAAATTGTTCATCTAATCAGCCTAAAATCGGCGAAAAACTGTTCGTGTGGACACTTGTACAAAAAATTAAACACAAATTGCGCATTATACCTTTAGTAGACAAAGACTGAGCATAAATAGTATTTTCATCTTTGCTCGAACACATACAGTTCATTGACCAAGAAATATCTCCGGAGTAGATTTCTTCTAATATGTCAAACGTAAAGATTGAATGTATCCGATATAATAATCAATATTCGAAAATACAACACACATGTTGCTAACTTTTCCTGTCAAGAGAAATTCATAATTAATTAAGGTAGCTCCGTGTTACCTAGTACATCGGTAGAATAGGTACTTAAAAAACCGTTTCCTCTGTTGTTCGCTACTCAGATTTCTGTCTTTTTAGGCAGCAGGAATACGTACTTACTATTGAATTTGCCTATCAATCATCGCAGTACAGAGAATCCCCTCACCCTAATCACACTTACCGCCAGCACCATCCATCCATCACCACCGTCCAATCATCTTATTTCTACCGCAAATCACATATACCTGTAGAACATCTATGGGTGTCAAACAAGGTCGTCGTCGAACGTAGAAAACTAAATTGCTCTGTTGAATTTGTCGTGATTGAAAATCTATTTTTTGATTTGAACAACGTAGCTTCCGTACGAAATACTAAGCATTACTATGGATTTTTTTAAAAACAATATAC